TCGCCCTCGTCGGAGGGGCGCGGCGCCACAGTACACTTCCACCAGTGAATAAGGTTGTACCTATATATTATGTCAAGCCTGTTCCATGTCTAAAGTTCCCATGCTTGAGGCTGTATTCTGACAGTTGGTTTGTACTTGAAAGAAGCCACCTTTCTTTTATTGACTTTCCAGGCTGTGCCCCTTGAGTATGACATCTACCTGTCTCACTGTGCTGTGGACAGTGAGATAGCATCCATGGTGGAGGCCAAGCTCCTAGCCTCCAAGCCAGGCATCAGAATCTACAAGGGCAGACAGGACCCTGCCGATGACAGGGATGAAAAGGATGGGGCAGAAGGGTCCTTCTGGCAGGAGGACATGTACAAGATCATGTCAAGATGCGCCCGCGTGGTTCCAAGTATGCCTGTCTGTAGGCCTATTTAGTCCAGTTCAATCGTTGATGCCTTTGCAATGTTGGATTTTCTCTTTGCCTTTTCTCGCCCTTGATTTGTGATTTTTGAGCTCTAGTGTGGTATTTTCAGTGCAATTCACACAATGGAAATTCATGTAAGGAATAACAGGTCACCAACTCCGTCTGTTTTTATGGATCCTTGAAATGACATGAGCACTCATCAAGCGGACCTTCCTGGGCAAACTGAATTAAAAAGTTACCTGCAGTTCACAAATCGTGTGCAGTTGTATGCAGTTAACAGACAATACCTGAGGAGATTTTTCACAAATGTCATACCTGGCTGGAATTAATTGGCTTTGTCTTCGTTATCCTCTTGTAGTTCTGAGCCCTTCGTTTCTTGAGAGCAAAGCTTGTGTTGACCTGTACAACATGGCGCTCTGCTGTAATCGGAGAGCTCAGCGAGACTTGCTGGCCCCACTCTACATAGAGAGTATTCAAGACATGCCTACCTACATGGGACTTGTGCAGTACATCGACTGCAGGTAAGTAACATGAAAGTCAATTACATGTAAATGGATGCAGTTTCTGCTTCTTGTATAATTTGCTGCTTTTTAGCTCGTAAGCTAGTATGTCATACCAATCAAGTTAACAACTGGGACTGACATAGCAGAACAGTTCAGAGTTGTATGTTTGTCCATTAGCGGCTGTCTCTTTCGACTTCTAAACTGTGCATGTACATATTCATTGAGTCCTTAGTTATGATCTACTGTGCACATACAGCAAAAGCATGTGTAAAACTCTCGCTTACCGGTTCACATGGGTCATACTTTTGAGCACATGGATCAAATCCAGATCAGATCCAGTGGCTATTTGAAGACGACATTCAGGTAACACTTGTGACTTGTATGATTTGATCCGAGAGTAATGGGCGCCAAAAATCTTCCTGCTTCCATGGTGGGAGCAACACTGTATTGTGGATCTGAACTATGCATGACTTGATAAAGCAACTATAGTGACTGCATGTGAATGGTATCAGTGAAATTTAATGCGTTACTATGGGAATAAATATGTGCTTGGCTGGTCTTAAATGTGTGTTTACGACTGGCTCAGGAGAATGGACGCGACTAATGCCCAAGATGCAGGCGAGGGCTTTATCAGCTTCAGTCTCCTGAGCAAGGTCTTTGCCAAGTACACATTTATTCCCATTCATAAGTACCTTTTTATTCAGAGAGTCAAAAAAAGTCAATATAGGATGGATTTCCAACAATTTTGTTCTACATCTTTATACTTTCATTTTCCCGAACACCCCATACATTTCATGCTATACTCCTTTTGACAGTTGTCCAATAGAATCCCCTTCAATGAACTTGGCCCGAGCGTGGCGCGTCGTGTGCACACAGACTCCTGACCAATCAGACCCAATTAAACTGTCTCAGTCCATGTGCCAGCGGTGATTTACACAGCTTGCATTATCTCTTCTTAGCAGGCATTATCAAATGTTAATACACAGTCATGTGACACGTTTCGACCAATAGGAAAAGAAAAACTGTACTAGGTATTCATGAATGGTGTTTTATGGTCAAAACTGTTGCCATTATCAGCAAATTGATACACAGGTAGTGAAAAATTGGTATAAAGTTTTTACAGTTATCCTCTGGATTCTTCCAGGATAATTCAATTCTTCACTTTTCAGTCCCAAGGACGAAGTTAAGATCAGTGACGGCTGTGCACACTTGGTGCAGTCCCTGGAGCATGCTAGTATGAAGGTCCACATTGAGATGGTGATTGCCGACGCCTCCCCTCTACACTACGACATCTTTGTGTCGTACAGTCACCGGGATTCCAAGCTAGCCATCCCCGTCGTTGAGAAGCTGCAGAGGATGAATCCAGACTTGCGGATCTTTTTTGACATTCAAGAGCTCAAAGCTGGTGGGTTCATTCCCTGGATTACTTAGAATTTGAAGACACTTTTTTGAGTACCGGGAGGCCTACTTTTGTTGTAACACTTCATTCAATTTGCACATAGCTATATTGTATATTACATAACATTGATGGCAGTCATGTACTTGCTATTGGTCTGGGCCTTTGTCATTGCAAACTACATAAAGTATTTGTAGTGTATGGAGCAACTAGCTCCCATCAGTGTAGACCCCAAAAGGGCATTACCGGACAATTTTCCATTTTTAAATGGGGGGGGGGGGCATATCATATGCTCCCCTTTTTAAGCTGGCCCAGAAATTGAAGTTCAAGAATCACTGCCCCTATCTATAATTGAGGGAGATGTCCCCAAAGTTGTGGATAGAATTCTAATTTAGTACTTCTGTTAATGAAGCCAAGTATTCCTCAAAATCACCCTAGGCACTAGCTTGCAAGCCGGAAGAAACCTGTAGAGAAGAGACAATGAAAAGCAGTTGCAGGTTTAGAGGTGGGAGGAAACTCCAGAGGAATTTTCTAGGTAAATCCCACAGAATCAGGTAGGGACCGAAAACCCAATCAACGTGTGGACCGGGCTGGGATTCGAACCCGGGCTGCAGAGGTGGAAGGCGAGGAAAGAACCACGATGCTAACCTCCCATCTGCTGAGTCCCGGGACGAGGGCATCACTGAGCCATTTAAATTGGGGGGGGGTATCATGATCCTCACCTTCAAGCTGGCCCAGAAAGTGAAGTTCAAGAACCAAGACTCCTGTCTATAACTAAGGGAAATATTATTTTTAAAATTTAGTACTTTTGGTGATGATTGAAGCCAAGTATTCCTCAAAAGGGCCCTGCAGCTTGCAAGGCTGAATAAACCTGTGAAGAGGAGACAGTGAGAAATAGTTACAGTTTTAGGAGTGGCAGGAAAACCCCAGAGGAATGTTCTAGTTAAATCCCACAACATCAGGTAGGGCCTGAAAACCCAACACCTTAACCTGGGCTGCACCTTAACCTGGGCTGCACCTTAACCTGGGCTGCAGAGGGGAAAAGTGAAGAAACAACGCCAACCCAACTCCCTGTACTATGAAAACAGGCAAAATTAGGTGCTTGTGTATGTGACTTGCATAGTGGCAGAGATAATGAGGGCACACATCAAGGAAGACATCGTCCTATATAGCCAACTGCACTATGAACAAAGAAGACTTCACTGCAGACAGGGACTCATCCCACTTGTGCGTGCATAGTCTTCTGCATCAAGGGCAAAGGTGATGTCCTACTATAAAACAGCTGCCGTGGCCCTAAGCTGTTAGACTAGGTGTTTAAAATTATTGCGGTATTGGACAGTGAATTCAAGTCACAGGTGATGGACTGGAACCAGGTCAAGTTCTCACCCTACTCTCACCCGGTGCTGGTTGCCTTGTGTTGTTCTGTGCCATTTTCGTAGTTTCATGTGTACTACTTCTAGCTACACGGCCTGTTTGCTACGTGTATAAAAAGAATACCGTTTGACTAGTGCCCTCTTGTGGCTTTCCTGTTTTTCGTTGTCACAGCCCTGCCACAGATTTTACGCCCGGAAGTAGAATATTTTCTATACTACACTTTTGTTTGAATTCGAGGTTTGCTCAATTTGCATACTGGACATTCTTTTGGGCATTTGCAAAGATTTCCTGTAGACCGGAAATGTGTCATTGGTTGATTTTGATCCAACTACGCCCAGCGCAAGCAGTTACTTGATTTGATCCTAGCCTGCCTCTGCCAATAAACTTCACTTCTTGCCATCACGAGTGACCATCAATCAACAAAATCAGTAAAATGGATCATACCTGGTTATACATGTATAGGGTCTGTACATTGGCAGTCAGACTTCATTTTATCGTTTGTTATTTTATGAAGGCACGACTTGGCAGAAGATGTTGTATCATGCCATAGACGGCTGTCGGTCCTTCATGGCCTTGGTTTCCAACAGCTACATGAAGTCTGCCATGTGCATTGAGGAATTCAACTTAGCCCTGGCAAAGCACTGCTCCTTGGTGAGTTGTGGAGCTGAATGCATTAGTAGGTTTTACAGTTTTTCAGGAATTTACAAGGTAAAGAAAGGTAAATTCCAGCCAATGTTACATGTACATTACATCAGGGTAAACCCACAGTGGTGGATTTTAGAGGGTTGCCGTGGAAGTAAGAGATCCATGTTTTGCGTGAGCTCAACCAATGCTGAATATGTACATAGGTCTGGTAAGAAATATTCACTCTTGATTTATTGCTACAATTGGAATCACCTTAACTAAACTGTGGTGCCTGAGAAGAATCTAAACATTTGGATAACCTCTCAGCGAATCATTTCCCCTCTCGATTAAAGGAATCTCAGCTGCGCCTGGTCCCAGTCTGCATCGAACCCCTGGTGGACCCATTGCTGGAGTTCCGGCAGGTGAAACTGATCAACGCTAAGCCGGGCGTGTTTGAGCCAGCCATGGAGATCATCTGCACCTCGCTGGTGGACTGGATTGCAGGGAGAGATTGGCACCCCCAGCTGGACTCCATCTTCAAGAGAAAGATGGTAAGACTGAGGTCTAAGTTACAACTTGTCCAAGTTAGCTGTGTTGATCAATGGAAAAGAAGATTACAAGATCTCTTACTATTAAATTCCAGGGTACTGGCTTGAGCACCTAATGCTGTGTAGCTAGTTTATCAGCCCAAGATTCATGATGTTGATTAAGTTAGGTCAAGAGCAAGGCTTGCGGTAGCACCATGCAAGGATATCTCTTCTTGAAGATGTGTGGTTCGGACTGTATGTTGTCTCCATCGTCAGAGTCTCCTCAAAACAGAACCACACATACTCAAACACAGATATCCTTGCATGGTAATACCCATAAACCTATTTATCTAACTTGCCACCTTCACCTTGAAAGCTTCAGTGCTCATTCACGATGTTACTTGACTACAAGTACTTGCAAAATATTTGAACTCAGATCAGAAAACCCATGCATTTGTGTGTTAATTTTGGAATGTATTTTCAAATATGTCACCTGTAAAATTATGATTTTTTTTAATACGTAGGAAAGGATCCTGGATGCTTCAGAGTATGCTGTTGAGCGTAGACGACTTGAATTCACTCTCAAATATGGCCGGGGAGAAAAGATGCTAAAGCGAGATGATGTCAATTACCCTCCATCATTGCATGGTGTGTATTGTCGGAGCGTGGCCTCCGAGGACACAAACTCTGAGGATGCACCTTGTGATGTTGCTTTCAGCTGTGCTCCTGAGGACAGAAAGTTTGTTTCCTTTGCAACAAAGATCCTCCGCGAGGTCAGTCCAGGGCTCATCATCAAAGAAACAGCAGACACAGAAAATGAACGCTTGGCTCTGATGGAGTCAGCTCAAAAAGTGGTCGTCTTCCTATCGGCAAATTACCTGGAATCGGTGGAACAGGTGGAGGAATTTCACACCATTCTCTTGAGGCAGAGATACCGCAGCCCGACGCAGGTCCTCTTTCCAATAACCCTGCACAATTTGCCGCAGCTGCCCACGTATTTCCACCTGATTCCCTCCGAGTTCAACCTCTTTGATCCGTTGTGGGTGGACTTGTTCTGCAAGCATGTGATAAACATCAAAGCCCTGCAGCAGATGTACAAAGTGCACGCCGACCACTGGGCGGGCAGGTATGAGAACATTGGAATGATTGCAGCTATTCACAGTCTGCTTGTGCAGCTCAAAAACGAAAGGTGGGTAAAGCTTGTTGGATGTCTAAGCAACTAGACGTTGATTTACATTAGGTTTACATCTTCATCAGTGAAGGCTCACTAATAGAAATCATATTTCACGGTTCTGATTTTTTTTCAATATGAACTCAAAAATACCTTCTTTATGAAGGAATTGGTTGATGTGTTTCACAGTTGTTGTTAAATGACCAATTAATTTTGATAAAAAGAGAGACATTTGAATTGCTGTGAGGGGTTAACAAGGGAATGATAGAGTCAGATCAGGTTTGTTTGCCACCTGCTGCTAGTAACATGTATTCAGTAGCGCCTGTTTCATGGTCACATGGTTAGCGACTAAACTGGCTCCTCAACTAAGTGCCTACCTGGTTCAGCAGATGGCTAACAACCAAGAAGGGGAATGAGCTCTGTAGACCCAACTGCCAACTAGCTATTAGAGTGGCTAGATAGAGCCCCTTATAATTAAGTGGCTGGATGTCAACTTTGACATTCCTGTGGCAGCTCTTGCAACCAAGCTGATGCCAAATGTGTCACTCTGTTTTCCCTTGGACTAATTTACTGAGGGCAAGATGGGATCCTGACAACTGGGCATAATCTCTGTTCAAAATGCCCAGGCCTGTGCCTCAGAGAGGTCACTCCAGTGCTGCATGCTGGTCACAGAGTCAGAAACAACACAGGAGGCAGCTGTTTAATATGAATAATGAGTCAGGACCCATTGGCATAGGTTTAGGCGCTACATGCTGTCTCTGACGCGGGGGGGGGATTGACACCTTCCACTTGTCAGCTGTCACTCACGTGCCTCAAGCTGGGCAGCTGCAGTCACGAAAGTGCAATTACCTGCTACAGCCTGCCTTCATTTGGTACTTGGAGCCAAGGAAAAGCCCAACAAGCAGACTGTAAATCCCACACCAGCCAACAGAGGAAGAATTAACGGCCTATCTTGCATTTCACAAGCTAGAATTAATGTCTGGACAATGTGTCCTGGCCTTTCAGATGACCGACTGCAGGTTGATGGCTGCCAGAAAACAGCCATCATCGACTGTGAGCTCTAAAGACTCAACATTGACATCGCTGCATTGCAGGAAACTTCATCAAACAGCAGTCTCAGAGATCAGGACTACATGTTCTTCTTTGCACAGGAAAGAACCTGAGGAACCTGAGCTGCATTGTGTTGAATTCGCATTGAGAAACTCTCTCCTCCCCTCAGATGACCCGCCATCAAATAGCACAGCCCGCTCCTCTCTCTGTTCCCGTCTTTCTCCTCAGGTCCAGTGAACATCCCGAGTGTCTACACCTCCATCCACACTTTGTTCTGCGAAGATCAAGGACCAGTTTCCCGAGGAGCTGGTCTCTGAACACCTGTGCCTACTTGTCAGTGTACACTGCCCAAGGGGATCTGACCACAACATCTGGCAAACCTGCATTGGTCACTTCAGTTTGGCAAGTTAAACCAGAATAGGCAGAGACGACGAGAGTTAATTATGTTGCTACCAAGACCTTCATCAAAAACACATTCTGTTCCACCAAGCTGAAGCACCTATCTTCCAGGCGGCACGCTACATGTAGATCCTGTCACTGGTACAAGTTAGATCTCGTCATCAAACGGAGATCCTTACTGAACTGCAACACAGACCATTCCCTGGTTTTTCATGAAATACATCTTCACCTCGAATAGATCCATCACGCAATGCAGAAAGGACACGCATGCATCAACATGGCCTGGACAGCAATGCCAGACTTGTGTGAGTGCTTCACTGAGGAAGCTCTCGAGGATTTCTCTGTTACCAATGCTGAACAATGGTGGAGTCACATCTGTGACGCCATATACAACTCCACCATTTACATACATTTGGCAAAAGAATAAGGTAGAAACAGAACCCAGATAAGTTCAAAGTGGGCATTACTGAACGAGGGTCAGCTATTGAAGCCAAACGAACAGTGCTTATCATCTACAGGAGGTCTGAGAAGTCACCGGACTCAGAAAGGCAAGGAACGAAGCTCAATGGATTACTCGGTTCTGCACTAGTTATGACTGGCCGTACCTCTGTCAGAACACCCAACTGACAGAGGCAACACCTGACTGGTACGCTTCACTGACAGCACAGCGTACACTCTGAGGAGGCACTGTACTGCAGTAACTCATCAGCTGCTTTGCCCAGGTGTGCAGTTTGGCTAAACCTAGAATCCCAAGCATCTCCACTTGTTACTTTGACCTCGAGGAGGTGCGGGACTTCACTTCACCATCTCCAGCAACCTCTCCCTGGAAGCTGAGGAAGATGTCTTTTGTCAGGACCTTGGTGTCCCCACTTTTTGGGGTTCCATTTTAATATATATATATAGCATGTGTTCCTTTTCCACATCTTTGGAGCAAGATCCTTGGATGACATGGATGACACAATAATTATGTAGTATCCTTACACAGCATCTCAAGATCTTGTTCTAGTTCGTCAGTAACTTTCCATCCGATCAAACGTCTTGTCATGCATATTCCTAGTTGGAAATTGAAACGGGCTGATTGTGTCAAAGTTTGTTCACAAGGGCAAGTATGCCTGTATAGAACACTTGGGCCAGGTTCAGTGACACAATATGTGCACAATACTTTGCGTACATTTGCATACCCCTAACAATAACGGTATACAGGGCATACAGGGGTACGTATTGTGCTATTGAACGTGCCCCTGGTTTTCCTAGGTTTTTTCTGAGTTCAGAACATGTCTTCCCAGATTCATTCTTTCTGGGAGTTCCACACCTTTTTTGGCAGATCTCCCTTTGAAAGCAGCCACTCAGGAAGTATTAAATCATCTGCACCTGATTTTTGAATAGGGAGCAACCCCCTGCTCTCAAGACCAGTCAACAGCCGATGCTGCTTAACGTCCTGCTCCTTCGTGCAGAGGTCAACAGACTCTACCAGAAAGTGAAGGAGGCTGGTGCCCAGGATGGCGACAGCAGCGATACAGATGGTAAAGGTGGCAGCAGTCATGAAGGCAGCAAGGATGCTGAATCACTAGATGATGACGTAAGTGGGGACAGAAACTCTGAGTATTATGGAATGAAGATATTGCATTATTAGGGTTTATGTGCTACGGGACTATGCTATGAATGTAATCTGTATGGTAAGAACACAAGCTTTTTTCTATTACATCAAACAGAGGAGGGAACACCATTTTGGTGGTTAATCGTGTAATATGTTTCAACTGTATGTGAGTGCTTTTTTTCTTTTTCACTCATTTGATAGTCTCAATAGTGCTTCATGGCTGAGAAAAATAAAACTGATTGACATAGAATTAATAACTTTTAACAGTTGAAATTTTCAATATATGCGTTGAAAATAAATTTTGAAAACAAAAAAGAGACTATTCCTGGGTGTTGTTTTTTCCCCGCAACTCTTTTTTCCAGGGTCTACTTCATATTGTCAGCGAGGTCATGACAAGAGGAAAAGGTAACTGTGTAGCAGAGGGACTTTCTGATTCTATAGCCAGTGAGGGAGATGAGCTGAATGAGGAAACCAAACCATCTCCAGAGGCCCTGCCTTCGAGCACAGAGGCCCGGTCCCAAAATGTGATCAACTCTCAAGATTCCTCTCTCAACCAAAATCCTGGGGGACCTGACGAGGAGACCAAGAAACCGTCTCTGAAGGACAGCAGTACTGAGATTGGACGGATCCAAGACACTTCACCTATTATTGATGAGCAAGTAGCAGATCGAGCAGCCCATACTGACAGTGTAGGACGCAGTGATGAGGAGCATGCAGTCACAGGCATACTTGGAAGGCGCTGTTGTACCCTTCTCTGACAGCAGTAAATATGCTGGCTTGCCAGTCCCGGATAGTGTTGTAGTTGAGACCACTTAAGACCTTCACAAGACCACATTGTGTTTCAAGAAGACTGAAGAATATTTTTGAAGCTTTTTTAATGATGTCAGTACTAACATGAGTTTCTACAGAATTCACTTAATTCGCTCAGTTTCCTGGTACTCAATGGAGAATGGCCAGGAACACGTACATGTATGCAGTGAAGTCAGAGCCCCTATCATTTTATACTTCATTTTCTTATTGGTGCCGTAATTATAATTAGCTGATCAATTTGACGTTGTCAGAAACATGGCGCTTGAAGTTTCATTTTGAACATGTATTTTAATCCCAGATGTTTGAGACATGCATGAATGTGCTTGGTGTTTCATCTCCCATTAGTTACCACCTTGAGCAGAAGCACCCCCTCGTTGGTTGGAAAGACCCATGCTCTTACAAAGCCTACGCAAGGAATGTACATGTATCTCATAGTCATTTGTGAATCAGTGAAGTGGAGTTCCCACAGAAGGAGCTTCTGTTGCTCTGAAAAACTTGCCCTCTCTTGGTCCCGCCAGCTGACTCCGAGAATATTCAGGTCACTGTGAACAATGTTTAGGCCAGCATACCCCCCATCTTTAAAGTTTTGCAATATTCATAGGATAACGTTCTTAAATATTGATGAATAACTTCAGTTCCACAGCAAAGGGCCTGCTATGCGATGAAGTAAATTAAAATTTATCCAGCATACAGATATGTATATATACTTGAATTCACATCCATACCTATTTGTCAAGTTTCCAAAAAATTGCACCATGTAACACCATGGAGGAAGGAACACTGATGAGTGCTTTTCAGCATTTGTTTCATAATGGAGCTTACACATTTATCCCGTGAATGTAGAGATTTTAATAGAGTGATGCCAAAGTACTGGTACTATTCAATTCATTTGCTTGGTCTTTAATTGTTACCTGTGTGTGGTTATATCGCCCACTGATAAGCACAATTCAGAAAGGTCAACTGCCTTTGTGCTTAAGATTTTCCGGTTCATTCACTCTGACCATGTAGTAGGACGTGTCATGGAGCTATAAATAGCCCCATGGTTGTGCCAATTGGGTTTTGTCAATAGGAGCGGCACAGTACATCCCTGTTAGGGTCCATAGTATCTGTTTGAACATCTCTTTGTGTATTGATATACTCAACCGTGGAGAAGGATTGCCAGTGTCGTCGCCGTATTATATAACTGTATCCTGACTAGTGATGTGCAGAACCATAGTGGTTACCATGGCTACAGTATAGCAGCACCATAGCACTGTATCTNGGATATTGTTTAATAAAACTGAGGAAAAGTTTGAAAGGTTTTTAGTAGTGGCTGAAGTATTAGAATGTTTGCTAACCATTTTTGCTTCCTGAGAGAAATACGTGTGCACTGAAATGTGCTGGAGAGTTCCTAAGAACTTTGTGCTTATTTGATTCACATAGTTAGCTCGTCAGTTTTATAGACCAGGTCACAAACACAGCTTAAAAATGTTTATTTAAAGTGTATATTTCAGTGCCGAATATTTGAACATATAAGATAATTTTCTGATATATTTTTGCCAGTGTTTGTAAATAACCTGTTCACATTGAAGTGATTCAAGTAAGCTTATTACATGCCTGCAGCATGTAGACACATGAATGCACGGCATATATTGGATTTGATTCAAATTTTTACAATAGTTATGCCCAGTGTTTAGTCAGAAATTTATTTCTCAAGGAAGTTGGTATATCATTATTTTTTTAATTTTGAGATTTTGATACAACATTGTACATGATACCAAAACATTTTCTCAGTCCCATTGTATGGGGTGTACACCTGGTGTAATTATATCACCTACTAAATGGAAAGATGTATACATGTGTGATTTTTATGAGTTTGTATTTGAGTCTATTTGAATGGCCAACATGACTTAGTAGGTCATGGCAAATTTTGTACTTCCATATGCATTGAAATCGGCCAGTTACATTTCCCGATTTGTACAGAATAAGCAATAAGGTGAGAATGCTAAGTCATAATGGTACTTCTCATATGGTATTGGCGAGGCTGCTATGGTCAGTATTGGTGGGAATGGTAGACATGGTAGAGGTGTAATTACTGAATCCACTTTAACTTTGAGGCTGAGCATTTTTTCATGCTGACAAAAAAGCTACCTGTAGGGTACGGTGATGGAAAGTGTTACATGCATAAGGAGACCATACATTCTGAGGAAATTGAACTGCTCGTGCCAAAAGCACATTTACATGTCAATGAACCTGTATGTGTACGCATGCACTGAGTCGCCACCCTAGGACCATATGATATAGCATGTAAGAACACCGCATCGCTTGTAGAAGGCTGTAGAAAGTATGAAACCCATATGGAAGTCCCAAGGCAAACTTGTAAATCTTTTCTCAGAATTAATTTCAATTTGGTGGTATCTCTCTGCTTCATTTTTGTACATTGACCAAATTCAGGACGTCATGTCTGAGCAGTGTTGTGCGGATACACATCAGAACATGGGGAAAGTAGGTGCTTGATTCTGACACATTTTGGAAGGTGAGCGAGACTTAGTCTTGCTTACAGCTGTGGAAGATGCATTTGTTTGGAGTTTTCTTGTTACTTTGTCAAATGGCCGTCCTCAAACGTTGGTGTCTTTGTTTGATTTAGGATGTTCCTCTTCCTCTATGTGTGACATCTGCCCATCTCACAATGCCCAAGATAACGAGATTGCATCTGGGGTAAAGTTGAGACAAAGTTCCATGCTTCAATGCCAGACATCGGGATCTATAAGTATAAGAGCAAACATGAGGACAAGAGTGCAAAGGACTCCTGGCAGGAAGAAGTGTATAATATCAGGTCAGTATGTGCCAGGATTTTCCTAAGTAAGTATTTAAACTGTTTTTCCATTTCAGAGAAATTTTGTGAGATGATATTTGGTCAAAGTGCTTAACTTTTTTAATGTTGAAGGCCCGCAAATGTGGTTTCTTGATACCTTGACGATTTTACTTTGTAGTCTTATGTCCTGCCTTTCATGAGAGCAAGACTTCATTGTGTTGACCTGTACAATATGGTGGTCAGTTGTAACTGAGAGCTCAACGAGACCTGACCTGGGAATATCCAAGATACGTGTACTGTAATGAGGTGCACATTGTCAAACTGTATTGGGTTTACCTTTGACCTTGGATGCATGATTTATTCATTAAGTCTGTAAGCATTCCCTAGTGAGGCACTAGTTATCGTACTGTGCATCCAAAATGTATACTTCCCTAGGTCACAACAGTAAGTGTATCATGTAATCTGTACATGTATAATGTATACATGTGTGTGGGTTTAGGCAAGTGGCATTAACGACGACAACTGGGATTCGAGTCATGCCCGACATTTTGTTTTCTCACTGTTGGGTATTGCAGTAGAAACCTTCAGTAATGTAATCCTAACTTAATGTTGTTAAGTGACCAATTTGGAGCTGCAGTTCTGCTGCAGGTGAGCCTGTAATCTCAGCAGAGTCGTGAGTCAATCTTTCTAAAGTTTATAAGTCTAATTATTTTGCTGTAATTTTCTGCCAAATTGTAGACGTTTTCTTAACAATTTGCTTTGTAATGCTGGGTCAATTTACATTGCATTGTATCCATGTCTTAGTATAACACATGGATATTTCCGAATGTTTTGTCAGAAACCTCGTTTTGATAAATTGTATTGATTGATTTGTATCGCAGATTATAGGGAGTCAACGTCCCACAGTGATGGACGAATTTGTTTCGCAAGTCTGTTATTTTGTGGCATCACTGACCACAGAGCTAAGCTTATTGGCAGTCTCACAGAAACTGCAACATGTTCATGCTTGGGAACTGTACGGTATCAATTACAGGTGAGGTAAGTTATCAAGCTTCTTCACTGGATTGTCTTATTTGGTATAAACTTGGCATCATTAGGTTTCAGATAGTTCTTAAAACTTTCAGGGGTACCAAATAGGGAGTAATCTCCCGTCTACCCTAAGTTATATTCTGACAAGTTGACCAAACTGTATAGAGGAAAGGCTTTGGTTTTTCAACTCTAAATATGATGGCCTTGGTGTTAAAACCCAGAACAAGTTAAAATGCTAACTTTTGGGTTAGCCAATAGACTTTTTGTGGATTTGCCAAAAGACTTTCTGTGGATTTGCCAAAAATGACAAATTTAGAAGTTCATAAACATTCAGAGGATTGTTGCACTCCAAGTGTGATATAAATTGAATGGTGTGGTTTTGAAAGGGGGTTCTCTAGTTCTCTTTTTAAAAATTAATTTTATGTTGGTGATTCTTAGATGTTAATTTGTATGCATCCAATAAGTTTGAATTGTCAAATTGTAGTCAGTCATGATATGTCTGGGCACTGGCCACAAGTCTTGTCCGCAGTTACACTTGAATGATTTTGCATTCCATGAAGGGTCACATGAAGACAATCACAATTCAAAAGAACTTCGCAATGTATATTCTGATGAACACATGTTAAATGTTGATGCTATTTTTTCCCAATAGTATAAGCACAATTCAGAAAGGTCAACTGCCTTTGTGCTTAAGATTTTCCAGTTCATTCACTCTGACCATGTAGTAGGACGTGTCATGGAGCTATAAATAGCCCCATGGTTGTGCCAATTGGGTTTTGTCAATAGGAGCGTCACAGTACATCCCTGTTAGGGTCCATAGTATCTGTTTGAACATCTCTTTGTGTATTGATATACTCAACCGTGGAGAAGGATTGCCAGTGTCGTCGCCGTATTATATAACTGTATCCTGACTTGTGATGTGCAGAACCATAGTGGTTACCATGGCTACAGTATAGCAGCACCATAGCACTGTATTTACACAGCATGTAAAACTGTGGCACAAGAGCATATTAAATCAGCATCAAGTATTCGTCACGAGATCAATTCTAGCTACTCATTAAAAGTACATATTGGACCTGTCAATTTCTGTGCAAGCATACCACTGACAGAAATTGGAAGTCTGTGATGTACATGTATGTATCAGAATCACCTTTATATGCACAAAGTAGGATTCCTTATGGGTGAGTTGTGCTATCAAAGCAGTGAGAACATCTGATCTGGAAGAAGCCATGTCCAATTTCCTGGTTGTGGACACACTGATCATCAACACCCAGTCCAGTGGTCAGTGCTGTATTGAGCTGTGCCAGGGAGATATCACTCAGTTGGACGTCGAGGACAAGGTTGATGTCATCTGTGTCTCGGTTTTTGGAAGTGAGTGCTACATGTTCATCATCATAACTTGTAATTGTTATGTGAGGGGGGAATTATTAATCAGTCTTTTTGTTTTTGGTGTCAGTGAATTTTTACTATTCTGTGGCTTGTGTAAATCACACAGATAACTTGCTTTGCAATTTCAGCATTAAGTAGCACTACATTATTTGGAGAAATACGGAAGGGCTGCGTAGAACTGATCAGAATATCGACAAAAATATACGTCAGTGCTGTTATTTAACCTTATTGCCGACCTTTCGGTAACTGTGTATCTTAATCACGGCAAAGCAGATTCAGGTCTCATACATTACATTATTACAGCTGTACATTATTTGGAGTTATTTTTGTTTTTAAGTGAATTATACCATTTGTAGCAGCTTACTCAAGTAGTATTTCTTTCTTAATATACCCATGCTTAAGTTTGTGGTTAGGTTGCTTTGTAGAGTATAAAATGTGGAGGAAAGTATACATTTTGTTGAAAGTTGAAACACAGTTTGATCATCTTGGTTTTCAAGGCACATTCAGCTAATAACTAGCCTTCAAGTTGAAATGTTATTTCATGTCATTTTGCATTTTTGCAATACTTTTGGGCTTATCCCACAATGATGCATTTTACTCATTACGTTTCTGGATGCTTTTCTTTTGATGAGGCCGGTACACCCCGCTGTCAGACACATTGGTTGGTGCCCTGCATGAGAAGTTGAAACTGAGTGTGAAGCTACTAGCCAGAGACAAAGAGGAAGACCTACGTCATGCCTACATGTGCTGGTGGTCCAAACCTCTGCCAGAGCACCTCCCTTACAGGAAACTACTGTGCTTTGAAAACAGGTATACATGTTCTGACATTTAAGGCAAGCTTGAATAAAGTTGGAGATCCAGGAGAAATTTATAATGACTATCAATTATTGCACCGAGGCTCAATAATGAAAGGTTGCTGGATTTATTTTGGAAACTGGGCAGTGACGTAGTCATGGGGGGGCCAGGGGGCACATGCCCCCACCCATAAATTCCCGGTGCTCCCCTCTCCACAAATTCCTGGCGCCCCCCACAAGGCTAACAAAAACTTGCCCCCAAAAACCACACCACTGAAAGCTGGTGCCCCCCCATAAGATGCTGGTGCCCCTTTGTGCCCCCCAACTAGTAAAATCCTAGCTACGCCACTTAAGCTGGGCATTTGTGGTACTTGTCTAATCATCATAACCATGCAAAATTTACTATATCTGTCTGAGCTAGCCTTTGGTTTGAATTTTGAAAAATAAAGTCAAGTTGGCTTTAAATTCAGATTTGTTACACAGCCTCATCATTCAAGAAAATTTCAAATTTTTTTTCAGTTTTTATTGAAAATGAGATGTGCCTAAGACAAAGATTACTAGCCTAAACTTATCGTAAACCATACTCAGAAATATAAGGTTCAAAATGAATGAATTAACACTATACTTTAAAGTAGATGATATTTAAAGAAAGCCAAATAGAAAAATCACTCTTCGGATTTCCAAAAAAATTTCTTCTGCTTGTAAAAATGTACAGTTTATCTCCAAGCTAAGTTACGAGAGCCAAAGTTTAAGTCATGAATTTCGACCTTGCAGTTAAATTTCAAACAGAAATTTACACTGTACTACTTTCATGTGAATTACCTTGTAACTCCGTAGGCCACAGAGGAATAGTGACAAGTAAAGTTAGCTCATGCTAACGTCTTTTGTTTTGTTTCTGTTTGGTTGTGACCAGGGGAAGAGTATGTCGCCCTCAGGAGCTGGTTGGCAATGTATTCCGCTGCCTGGTACCCATACTGAGCAATGAACCTGGAACAGTCATCACTCCACTGCTCAACACAGGAATCCAAGTGAGTTTGGTAGATTCAGGATGAGAGATTAAAATTTGATAAACAAGTGTATTCTAAATTAAATTGAGGACAGTGCGCACTGTCAAAGCCTTTATACGTTTGATTATAACTAGACTAAATATACTCAGAAAACCCGATTATTGCAATCTGAAGGCTCCTTCATAAGTGATGCATTTCTGCATAATTGAATTGCTAACTCTTTGTAAACTCATGGAATTAGTATTTCAGCCACTAAGCAAGGTGTTCTCAATATGAATCGATGTTCCTTAACTTCCTTCAACTTAATGCGTTTTGGTACAGAAAAAGAAAGTGTCTCTAAATGTGAGTTTGCATGTGCTTGGATATATTGAAGGAATTCACTTCTTGAGTTGGTGACTGTCATTGCACGAATGTAAAGTAGGCGACAAAGTTAATTGTACCAAGTGCTGCATTTCGTTAAATTTGTAAGATTTGTACTAACCTGGTGCCTAAAATGATACGTTGAAATTAACCAGTTGTGTTGCAGTAATGAACTTGGCATGTATAGTTCAGTAACAAAACAGTTGCAATCTGAAAATAAGTGTGGATGCACCGTTATTGTTTTTTGTAGGGTGTTGATGAGGCTGCCATGTTGGTGGGCATGGTGGAAGCCGCCATCAAATGGATAAAAGCTGGCCTGCCTCTCAAACGACTCAAGATTGTGCTGTTTGCCAATGTTGTTAAGGGCAAAGTGGTCCAGGTGAAAATGAGGGATCTAGAAGGCGTCTTGAAAGTTTTCAAAAACCTGAAAGACCAGCACAACAATTGCGATGTCATTTCCCTGGTAAGTCATCCGCATTTGTGTTGCACATTAAATAATACACCAAATAAAGTTGTTTAACATTTGGCTGTAAATGTTTAATTGCTGTTTTGTATTTGAAGAGATGGTTTGAAGCCTGACTTCCCGAGGCACGTGCTAAGGTTCCTAAAATCTTGTTTGTCCGTCATAGTCACTGTCATATTCTGTGTTCTTTGACAGAAATTAGGACATTATAATACATTCAAATATATGATTGGGAATTCTCGAGAATGGGTCTTGAGCCTTATTTCTTCTCTTCCTACCTGCAACTGTAAAGATGCGCTGCTTGAATTTTTCCAGCTTTCGCTTCAGATGATCTTCAAAAGTTGGTGTCTTTTCTTAATCAGGATGTTCCTCTTGAGTATGACATCTGCCTGTCTCACAGTAGTGAAGATGGCGAGATTGCATCACTGGTTGAGGCAAAGTTCCGTGCTTCAAAGCCAGACATCAGGATCTCTAAGAGCAACCATGAGGATGAGGTTGCAAAAGACTCCTTCTGGCAGGAAGAAGTGTTTGATCTCATGTCCAGATGTGCGAGAGTTGTGCCAAGTAAGAGTTTCAGGGACATTTAACCCCTTTCCTTAAGTTTTATTATGAGAGAAACTATTCAATTAAGTGTTTGTCTTTCAGGAAACAAATACATGCTCGGCTGGCCATTAAAATATATAATTTCCACTCATAAATACTTTTGGAGTCATCAAGTCAAAACAAGTTTTAAAAATTACAAATTTCCAGTGATTGTGTTGAACAATTTTACTTCAGTTTTTAGACTCCCGTCTGCCCACGTTATGGTACATGTAGGTTCATTTCTCTCTTGAGTAGTTGTAAATAATTTCCTTATATGGAAAGTGATGTGTGCATGGCACGTGCTGCATTAGTCAGCTACCCAGTGCTTTCTCAACTGTTTAAGACTGGCCACGTGACAGGCTTTCAACCAATAGAAATGCTTAAACTGTCCGAGGTATTTATGAATGATGATTCATAACAGTATTGGTCCATAAGCCTTGAAAGCATTTGATTGCTCTTTTGTACAATGTTTACCTTGTAGTCTTAAGTGCTGCATTTCTTGAGAGCAAAGCTTGTGTTGACTTGTACAACATGGCACTCTGTTGTAATCGGAGAGCTCAGCGAGACCTACTAGCCCCACTCTACATAGAGAGTATTCAAGACATGCCCACCTACATGGGACTTGTACAGTACATTGACTGCAGGTAAGGTCATCGACCCTCATCCCTGGAAGCATTTAATACAATGACATATAAACTTGACAACACGATAGTTTAGCACATCAAACCACCCAGGGGTGCAAATAAGGAGCGTAATCTTCTACCCTCATAATTGGATGGTTTTACTATTGAAACCTTGCAGATTAAGCCTTTCTCCCTTCCGATTCAATCAGTTATAGATTTAAAAAGGCTAAGTTTTTGGCGTAGGTCTACTGGCATATTTGTGAAAGAAAGTACGGTAATTCCAGAAATTAGGGGTCCATTTTTTTGTGTGTTCCTGTCGCATCTGACGTATCATTTTGTAAATTCAGAACACATTTTCCAAGAGTGATAAATTAATGCAAATTACCTACCGCACAAATAGATAGTAATAGTTTGAAATCAATTCCGGTGATATTTCCATGTCAAGGAACAAAGGTCAGATGTAACAGGGGCACAAAAATGCCACACTTTGTGACCCCTAATTTCTGAAATTACCCAGTAAGCAACATTTTGTGATGAGAGGTACATTATGCCAAAAGTATTTAGGCTTATGCAGCAAGTTTATGAACATCAGTCATTTTGCACTGCTAATGGCATGCATGTTAGGGTGTAATATTGGGAGGAATTTTCTTTATTTTGCAAGTCGGAGTTGTAATCTAGTCCAACATGATATTGCAGGTCAAAAGTATAAAAACTAGATGGTTGAACAGTGACCAAAGAGTAGAGTCGATGAATTTTGGTGGACTTGTCTATTATAACTATGTAAGTTTGACTGATTAATTGAAATGGGATTATTTTCAGCCCCAAAGATGAAGCTAAGATCAGCAAGAGCTGTGAGGATTTGGTTAATTCGTTGGAGCGTGACAGCACGAAAGTCCATACCGAGGTGGTGTCCACAGATGCCTCTCCACTTCACTACGATGTCTTTGTGTCATATTGTCATCAGGATTCCAGGCTAGCCGTCTTAATAGTTGAGAAGCTGAAGAAGTTGAATCCTCAGCTCAGGATATTTTTTGATCTACAAGAGCTCAAAGTAGGTGAGCATAAGTGTTTGCTTGATTCAACAGTTAAACTACCGAGACATTTTGTCTATCGCAAAGCAAGTGTTTTCCTTAACAGTTTACATCTTTTTTTAAGTTAGAACTAATTTCCTCTGTGGGACCTGATACAGTCGAATAGGAAAAATGTTCTCTGCCCACGCATCGTAAGTAGTCTCCTAGTTTTCACTTTGTAGCCAAACTTCAAATATCCAAATAGATTTACAAGACTTTTATCAAACTTCCTCCCTATCCAAGAGGTCAACTTCGATGCCTGTAATGTTACAACCCTTGATAGAGGTAGTGACTTTTGTTTGGATCAGAGTCACATGCTTTTTGAGTTGACTTTTATGAAAGGAAGGTGGTCAGTTATGAACAGATTCCACGGCTCTGATAACGATGAGTCCTTTCTACTTTTGTTGCTGTACTGTGCAGCTGTCAATTTAGTGTCCTTTCAAAGACGAGTGAATAATGTGGATTCTTTTCACATTTTATCGCAGGTATTGCCTGGCAGAGAACATTGTATCATGCCATTGACGGCTGTCGCTCCTTCATGGCCTTGGTTTCCAACAGTTACATGAAGTCTGCCATGTGCATTGAGGAATTCAACTTAGCCCTGGCAAAGCACTGCTCACTGGTACGTTTTCAGTTTGCTTGACACTGAGAAAGTCCCCTTAAAAGCAGAATACGCACTCAATAGTTTCAAACGCCAGTTTAACATGTAATCGGTCCTTGTTTGAATAGAGAAGGGAACATATTATTTATCTCTATGAACAAATGTAATTGTTCACATTTTTGGAAATAATTAAGATTTTTTTCTTTCATCGGAAAAGGATATCAAATTGTCACAGTTTGACTTTTAGTCAAGGGTTAAATATATGCTGATTTTTATCACCATCTTACATCAACATATGTGAACCTTGTAGGGGTTTGAGAATTCAGCTTTTCTGCTGAGTTTATTTTTGATTCGATTTTTACTCTGATTGTCAGCTTTCTTGTATACCTGCTTAGCACAAAATTTATGGGCATCTTTAAAATTTCAGTGCTTTCCAGTTTTTCAGCTTGTATGTGGTTACTCACACTACTGCTGAAGGTACTTTTCTGTGTTGGTTTAACTTTAGGATTCCATGGTACGCTTTATCCCTGTTTGCGTTGAACGTCTTGTTGACAACCCTCCGGAGCTTCAGCATGTCAAATTGATCAACGCTACGCCGGGCGTGTTTGAGCCAGCCGTGGAGATCGTCTGCACCTCGCTGGTGGACTGGATTGCAGGCAGAGACTGGCATCCACAGCTGGACTCAGTTTTCAGGAGAAGGATTGTAAGTGCCTCCTAATTAAAAAAACTGCAGTCAAACCTCGTTAATAAGAGGTCCCTTCGACTTTGCAGATTCTCTTTTGTTACAGCAACCTTGTATTTTCAAGAATGCAAACAATAAAGAACAAAAGATTTGGACCTAGAAATTTCCTGTCAAAAGCAGAAAGCTGTATTAACTATACCCTTATTAACGAGGTTTGACTGTATATGCGCGGGGTATTTTATGCACAGATCCCTGAATGTTGAGACAGACTTGCCATTTCTGTTTGAATCTTTTTCATGCCTTCGGGATCTTCAGCCCAATTGCCAGCTTTAGGCATTGGGGCCACAGGATTAGCTAAGCGGCGCAAAATGACAAGAACAAAGTATAGTTTCTACGCTTTTAATTTTTTTACTGATAGATGGCCTGACCGCCTCACCCCCTCCCCCGTTGACAGGCCCCGCTGATCTTACAGGATGTGATTTCCATCTGTTGTCATCATTATTTAAAGGGATTGTGTTGAGAACAAAGATTTCATTTAAAAACTACCTGACTTCTGTTTGAATTGGATAAACACATGGACTTGTTTTTAAAGTCGTTTTAGATAACTAGTTCTTTTAAGTTACTCAGAATATAGTTTTAAAACTTTATGTATAAAAACTCTTTAGCAGAATCGTACCACAGTAAAAGGAACTCCATCGACTCTCCCCTGTGTGAAGCTACATATATCAACAACAGTGAATGTCATGCAATACCCTTTTGGACAGTATCATATCATGTAATGTTTTTCAAGATAAATGCTTTTTTAATTAATCATGTAATGTCCAAAGTCTGTACAAAAACAAGCCCTCAATCTGGACTTTGAACATTTTTAATTACAGGGAATGATTGTGGATATTTCTGAGTATGCTGCTGAACGTAGAAGACTCCAGTTTTTCAAAAAGTACGGTAAAGGGGGTACGACCTTGAATTGTGAAGATGTGGCATTCCCTATTCCTGTTCCTTCCTGATCTACCTCTCGTGGAAAGCACAGAAAATGAAGTGTGTGATATAGCCTTCAGCTGTGCACCAACAGACAAAATGTTTGTCACATTCATGGCAGGAATCCTCCGTGAGGTCTGCCCTTGGCTCATCATCAAAGAAACGGCAGACAACGAGGATGAGCGCCTGGCTCTCATGGAGTCTGCTCGGAAAGTGGTCGTCTTCCTCTCGGCCAGTTACTTAGAGTCGGTGGAACAGGTGGAGGAATTTCATACCCTTCTCCTGAGGCAGAGATACCGCAGCCCAACGCAGGTCCTCTTCCCGGTATCCATCCACCGTCTGCCCCAACTGCCTACGTACTTCCACCTGGTTCCCTGCGACTTTAATCTCTCCAATCTATGGTGGTTAGAACTGTTTTCCAAACACAAAGTCAATCTCCCTTCACACTTTGAAGATTACTGGCAGATATCTCGAGTAAAGGACCAAGTTGAGCACCCTGTCGCTATGGGTGTCTTAGCGGCTGTTTACAGTTTGTTACACCAGTTAAGAAGTAAAAGGTAAGAAATCAACTCCCTCCACCGCTAGATGTGGTCATTAAGTGCGAAGCTGACATAGTTGTAATAACGTCTTAGCAGTGCAGTTAAACCTTGATCTTTGGTTAAACTGATCAGTGTATCCCTTACGTTTTCCTAAACACATGATCATTTATGTACCATTCAGATGGAAGGTATTCTAGTGGATTATATCGAGCATAGAATGTTGTGGAAACAGTTTAAGCAGCTGCAGTTCTTCAGCAATAGCCCCAACTGTCCCAAATCCTTGGATTTCAATGTGATTTTACATACACCTTACAGGGGTTAGAGTTAATTCAGACTAGCCTGTAGTATTCCTTTCCCTCACAGGGAACATCCTCTACTTCGAAAGGCCAACCACCAGCCAGTGCTCTTGAATGTGATACGCCTCCGCAGTGATGTCGCCAGACTTCTCAAGGAAGTAAATGTCGAAGACCACGGCGAGCAAGATAACAAAGCCAGTGGTTGCAATATGTCAGAAAATGTAAGTCTAGCTCTCCTGTTACAAATGTTCCAATATGTTGTGCCAGAGTAAAGCGTTAATCCTATTTCCTGCACAGCTGGAAGGTTTTGTCAGACTGAAAGAAGTACCGAGCCCAGTGTGAGCTGGACATGACCTTTTGAGGATCAAGAAAATACAAAATATTTTCTGCACCTTTGGGGATGTTGGTCTCAGAAAGACCATTGCTCGGCGGGATATTGCAGTCGTCGGTGTTTATGTCACTTAACTGTACATTTTGTCATGTGCTATTATTTTGTGCAAATTCAAATGATTGTACGTCTTATGTGCTTGTACAACATTTTATGGAATCTGTTTACCATTTCCTTTTATGTTTCATAGTCTTTACTGGACATTGTTGAGCTTTCTCAAGATCCAGTTCTCCAAACCTCTAAAAGCCAACTGGACGAAGGAAAAAAGTCTGGAACTTCATGGCACCAGCATGGTGCTCTGTCCAGTCAAGATTCCAATGGGTCTTCAACACATAACTCCAACATTAATACAAACAGCTCCAACTCACAAACGCACTGTCATGTGAAAGCAAGAGAAGTAATCGTCAGTCCAGGACAAACAGTACTAGAAGATGGTACCATCCAGCATCCAG